TGGTGCTTCCCGGCCGCCAGCTTGAAGAGCCGCTGGCGCTCGGCCCGCTGCGGAGAGCTGTGCTCAGGGGCTGGTGGCAGGGCTGGGGCCACGGCAGCCCAAACCAACCCCCTGGGATGCTCAGGGAACTGCCTTAGTCCTGCCTGGGGAAGGCACCTGCTCCCCAGCTCCAGCCAGGGGAGCGTCCCAAGGGATGGGGACCTCCCCGAGGAATGGGGACCTCTTCCAGAGACAGGGATCTCCCAAAGGAGCAGGAACCTCCTCAAGGGATGGGGACCTCCTCCAGAGACAGGGATAACCCCAATGGGACAGGGACCTCCTCAAGAGATGGGGACCTCTTCTAGAGATGGGGACCTCTCCAAGGGACAGGGACCTCCGCAAGGGGTGGGGACCTCCTTCGGGGATGGAGACATTCCCAATGGATGGAGACCTCCCCAAGGGACAGGGACCTCTCCCAGAGATGGAGCTGTCCGGGGTGACAGGGGTGCCCAAGAGATGGGCAGCTATCCCAGGACATCACCAAGAAACCCAAGGACTCCCAAAAGTCCTTGGGAGATGGGGCCACCAGGAACAGGACAGGTTCTGGATGGGGCCAGGCTGTGTAGGGACAGCCCAGACCCATGTGGGCCAAACAGGACATAGCCAGAGGGCTAGGAGGGAGGACAGGCTGTGGGGGCCGGGGAAGAGGGAGGGCTGGAGACCCGTCTCCATCACGTGAGGGATGGGCCAGACCCCGCCAGCGCCTCACTCACGCTCTGCCTGGCGTCCCCCAAGCTCCGCACGAAGGCTGTCGACTCGGCGGTGCAGGACCTGACCGTCTCTGTACGGCCCTCCCGGAAGAGCCGCGTCATGGACGCCTCGTAGGTGAGGCAGAAGCAGCCCTTGTCCTGGGGGGAAAGGCTGGGGTGAGGCCGGTGCGGGGGGGGACGTGTCCCTGTGTCCCCGGGGCTGGCGCGATGGGCACGCCGGGGGTCTCACGCGGAAGTGGGCCAGCTGCAGGGAGATCTGGATGAAGGCGTCGGGGCTGGTCCGGCACCGCTTGATCAGGCCCTTCCCGAACTGGGAGAACTGGAAGCAGCAGAAGTCCACGTCGTCCGCTAG